GGAATGGTAATGTAATACGGCAATTTTCGATCCACGAGACCGTATTTCGAAGCGAGCTCCTGGTGAAGAATTCTGGCTACTAGGTTGTGCCTGTGCAAGTACTCAGAATTAGAAAGCGCCGAACAACCGGAGATGACATGCCTAAGTGACTCACCGGGATGGCGACAAGCTCGAAAGATGTCGACGGTGCCATCCATTAGGATGTATCTCCGATAGTTGTTAGTCTTAATAACCCTGTATTGCACAGACAAAACCCTCGGTTTCCCCAAAGAGATCACCAAAGCGTAGCCAGTGGAGGGAGGCTACTGTGTCTACGAAAGGCTCATGTAGAGCCTTGTAGAACCTTCCGTGGAGCTCCTTCTCCTTCCATACGTTCTCGCGGTCGGAAATACTCGGCACTGCCGGGTCTTGCCATTGCTCGTTGGCTAAGGATAGAGGGGTAAGTCTTTTATCACTAGAAATGACGTCATTATAGAATGGATCATCCGATCTCGCCAGGAAGTAATCACGGAGGCTGCACACTTCGCGATTATGCATGGTGAGCGCGCTCAGGAAGCCACGCCCACCATGCTTTCGCGGCAAGTACAGCCTCATTACCGACGATCTCGGATGATGCATCCTGTGGGACGTCATGGTAGTGCGGACTTTTCTATCCAGGGCGTTAAGTTCAGTCTGAGTCCACCTGAGTATGCCAAAGGTATACATGAGGACAGGCGTGACCCAGCCGTTATATGCGTGTGTCTTATTCACTCCGGACAAAAGGCTGTTAAGCACTTTGGCCAAGCGTGCATAAAACACGTCGCAAACTAACTGTTTCATACCAGCCTCATCGATACCGATGTTCTGTTACATACCCAGGTATCGGTATGTTAAAGGGTCTTAAGTTGACGGGCATAGATAAGTCTATGCCCTCCGAGTTAGCAACCCTTCCCCTTTCAACATGGAGAACCGCATACTTATCCGTCCCCAGCTCCATTCCAATGGAATTGCTAAATTCACGAGTGATGCTTAGCAATTCCATAAGATGGGAGCGACTGGAGGCGAATAACTTGAGGTCATCCACATAGAAAAGGTGGGTCACTTTTGTTCCTCCTTTCCGTAGCTGAAATCTCCTCCCGGAGCCCTCCAGTAAGGTACTGAGAGGGTTCAGAGATAGGCAGAACTAGATTGGACTCAGACAATCGCCCTGGAAGATACCCCTTCTTATCCTTATGTGGTTCTCCGCAGCCATCATCCGCTCGCCCAGATGACAAAGGATCGTACTCCACTGCCCCATACACTGCTCGAGGAAGTCTCTAACTGTACAGTCTATCTTGTACAGCTCGAGGACTCTCTTTAGCCATGTATGGGGCACCGAGTCGAATGCCTTTCTGTAGTCTATCCAGGCGGCGGAGAAGTTCCGACGGTTGCGTTTCACCACTTTGCCAATGACAGCGTCAATGAGGAGTGGTTCCTTGGTTCCACGACCACCACCCCGACATCCATTTTGAGCGCGCAACATCACCTGATTCGAGTCCAGGTGACGAGTGATTCTCGCGCTCAAAATGGATGTTAGTGTCTTGTATATGGTCGATAGACACGTGATGGGGCGGTATTTGCTCGGATCTGTGGTACCCAGGTCTTTAGGAACCAAATGGGTGATCCCAGTAGTGAAGAGGCTTGGGAGCGACTTCTGACACACCACGAACCCCTTCAGCCAGTAGTGATGCATCCCGTCGAGTCCCGGACTTTTGCAGTTCGGGGCCCTACGCTACTACCGCCTCAGCTACGTCATTCGGTGTTATAATGACGGGGTCCACGGGCGTTATACTCGCACACTGACTCGCCACAACTACCGTCCAAGGGCCCTCGCTGTGGTTTACGGGCTCTGACCACAGGCCGCGCCAGAATGCTACAGTGTCGGCCTGATTCGGTGCTGGGCCCGTTCCACTTACCATTGGTCGCTCCAATGATTCATAGAGCCTCTTCTGGTCACTCTGGAAGAGACGATTCTGGTTGAACCGTGTCGACCTCTCGGTATATCGCCGAATCCGCTTTCCCCAAGCATCGATTCTCTGCTTCAGATCATCTATGCGCTCCGTCAGTTTTTATGTTATATCCGGCTGGGACAAACTGACATTTGTCCCAGCAAACGCCATCCTGACGGTGCGCACAATTCTTGGCATGTTATTGCCCGATCTGAAGCATATTAGTCTGCCGATGAGAGCTCTAGCCTTTGCGATACGTCCCTCAATTCTTCTTCCCTATGCTGGGATAGCGCTACTTTGGCCAGTAGCTCGTCCAGCCGTGGAAACCTTGGCGCCTAAGATACGGCAGACTGCCAGCGCGGCGCCAAAAAAAATTGAGTCCATCTCGCAAAGGTCCCGGCTGGCTTCCAAATAGGTCAACAGAATTGGGTTCAGAGCAATCACGACAGCATCGACTCTTCCAATATGCTACTCATTTTCTCTAGTTCCTGGGAGACTATTCCATCATCGTCTGAATTAGTCACAAATGGAATGTTGACGGCAGCATCCACATATGCAGTTTGTTGCGCATCTAGTGGCGCCGCATTCCCAGCCGTAGCATTTCCATTCGATGAAGGAATAGCCTCACGTCGTAGTCGCTCGAGTTCGGCGTCACCAAATATGTTGGAGCGCAGGATGTACCTAACTCGGTCTGCCAGGTTTTGCTCAGTGACGGATAGAGATGGCTCCAGCTCTGCAAAAAAGCGATGCATCCGAGCCCGATACGCCAAACATCCAGTTTCTTCCCCTTTTGCCCTAAAATACGCCCGCAGTGCGTTTTCATTCATTGATTTAGACCAACGCATGCGACGTGCTCCACCAGCGGCGGGTGCCGCTTGCTGAGTCCGAGAAGACCCAGCCGACACCAAGCCTTCTGGTGGGGATGATGGATGCGGGGGGCTGCTAGGTGGTCTTGCAACACCCCGCGCTCGGCTGGCGGCCCGCATGCTGTCGCGTCCAGCGCCAGCTCCAGACGCGCCCTGGCGACCTCCAGGCAGCGGCCCTTTGCGCACTATCTTTTTCTCCATCATCCATAATATGGGCGTCCATTAACGGGAGACGCCCAGGCCCGGCACCGTATCGTGGACGGCCATAAGCACAAACGGGCCTTTGTACCCTGAATTCTGCCGAGGCACGGCGCTCACACCTCTCGCAAGGCGCTGACTGACTGCGTTGACGTAGCAGTTTTGTCACTTAACTGTTACGTCAGCGGGCGATGTGGTCGTCAATTCCCTACGCCATTTTATAATTATTATTATTATTATTGAAAATCAGTCACAACCGCTCCGTTGTTACGGGGGCTCTATTGTTTTTGTATTGAGTCATGTAATTGTATTGAGTTACTTTTGGAGCCTTGAAATGCCATATAGATATTCTGTTAGGTTAAGCTTTCGTCAAAACTTTACTACTGTACTGTGTCTGTCAAAATCTTAGAGTAATTACATAAAATATTACGAAAAAAAGTTATGAATAAATTACATGTCAGCCTAGGCTGTATGTGTTTAGAATCCTTTTCCTTTAAACAAAATTGACGTTTACTCTATAAGTCTCTTAACCTTACGAATACCGTAGACCGAGCTCTGTCTACGGAATATACTTATCACTCTGACGCTTGTCAGCACTAAAAAAACGAACGATGAACGAAGGTACTTGAATCGATTATCGATTAAATCGAGGAATAAAAGATCGATTTTCGATTAATCGCGACATTTTCAAATTTCAAGAATTTTCGATATTTTTTTCTTTAACTTCTAAACTGTAATATTTTTCTAAATAAAATATTAGTAATCTTATTGATTAACATTACTAATATTCCTTTTAACCACTCCTGGTAAGCTGGAAACGCTTGTGTTAGGAGTGGTTCGCACATACTCCACTCGATCCCTTTTTTTACAAAGTGATTCCACGTAACACTTTTATTTGACATTTTACGCTATAAACAACAACAATACTTTTACAAAAGTGCAAACTGCAACATACATTTCTCGATAAATCCGTTTCAATCTAATAACTCACTATTTATCATATTGAAATGAATGCTATACGAACACAATACTGGTTATTTCTTTACTATAAACCTCTATAAACTTCAACGTACGGTATTATATTTTTTACAGTATCTAGGTATTTAAAAAGTACTCTGTCTGTACTTACAGCTCACAGTATGTATATTTTTGATAATAAATAATGTAAATTCACAAGTTCACAGTCCAAACACGTTCACAGCTATAATATTATATTATAGTACAGGAGGTGAAATATAATATGAAAATATCGCTCGGTCAATCGAAAAAATATTTATAGTATGGGATGTAATATATATTACACCTCAGTGGAAACGGTTCTATTTAAATGTACGGTGAGCAATGTTAATTTATATCTCGAGATGTAATATTAAATTACATTATATCCCTTAGTGGAAAGTGGGCTTAAGAATTTTAGAAATGAAAATGAAATGACAACTTTTCGATATTGTTGGATGCGTTCATAAACATTTATTTTATTCAAATATATATTGCTTTCAAATTATCAACCAAGTACGACCGGTTGTTTTTGCGTCCCCCAACAGCAAAAAATTAAAAAACTGTGGTATCTTACCCCAGCCAGTTTGGGAATTTTAGCTAGTTCTTGAATCAAATGCATCAGTGCGATTCAATAGGTTTTTGGATCGATTCAGTGAATCGATGCTGTGCTTCGAATCGATCTAAAAATCGGTAATTTTACTCCAAAGAATCGATTTTTCGATTAATCGATTTAAGATCGACATGCCTATTTGTCAGTGTCAATCTGTCAATCAAGGAGTATAAGTATAGTAAATATAGGAGATAAGAAAATATATGAGTGTCAATGTTTTTTTACTAAAAATATATATATATTTATATTGATATTATGTGTATACACACATTGATGTAAAGTGTAGTTATATATTAGTGTTTATTTAAACGTTTTAACAACCTACCAATTTGCAATAGTCGTTAATAAAAATACTTGGCAATGGCTTTTACTAAAAAAGACGTAACTCTCTCTGAAGACCGACCAAAAACGTTGCTTCTGCAGAAACATTCAGATTACCTGGCCAGTTATGGTCTTAACAAAGATGATTATGAATATTGCATGACAGAATATCTGCGAATGTCGGGTATTTATTGGAGCCTCACGGCTATGGAGATAATGAACGAATCGTCAAGGTATTAAGATTGATATATCAGTATCAACAAATATTTAATTTGCCAAATTTGAAATCGTGTTAGTCTTTTTTTTAATAAGATAGAGTGACAAACATGCACACAGTCCACCTGATGGTAAGTGGTTGCTGTGGCCCATAGACATCTACGTCTTTCCTCGATTACAAATCAAAAAGCAGATGCGTTGACACCCGTGAGGACTAAGATGGAATGCCTCGTTTCCAGTAAAAACGATTTCCAGTTCTCTACACTCCTCATACGAAACACAGCGGCATTAAGCTACTATTTTACACTGGTATTCTGTGAGAGTGTGGTCCTTCCCCGGTCGAGCCGACCCATTCATGCTACAACTATACTACTAATATAATTGCAGCATGGCTCTACCATGTAAAAAAATCACAAAAATATATGAAGTCTTACAAAAATATAAATATAAAAACTTTTTGATTTAATATTAAGATTGACAAAGTAAGTTTTTAATAATTGTTTTAGAATGCCAAAAGAAGAGATTATAGAGTTCATTTCATCTTGCCAAGATAAAGAAAGTGGAGGTATATCAGCCAGTATTGGTCATGATCCACATATGTTATACACCTTAAGTGCTATTCAGGTAAATATATCTGTTTAAAAAAAATGTCAGTAAGATTAAAAGATTAAGACAATTTTATTTTAATAATAATTACGTTTCCGCAAATTAGCTAATCGCAGTCAGTGTCTCAGGTCATCTGAGAAAGCTGGGACTCCATAACGGACCACTCCTGGCTCAAATGCTGGAGGTGGTACTCATCGATATCGCCTGCATTGTCTGCCGGTTTCTTTCTCTTTCCCCCTAACACTCGGCCATTTGGTCTCCCCTGCCAAGAGGACTTCTATTTATTTAAGTATTATTTATTTATTTATGTTAGTATATTAAATATATATTTATGTATAATTATCATTTCTCTTTATATATTTATTCAGCCCAACTAGACGAGAATACTCTATGAGTACCCCATAATAATAATAATCATTTATTTCAAACTATGATAGTAACAACATTAACTAATTATAACTAAACTAATACATATTTCAACTTCAAACTGACAACTTCATGATCTCTCTTGATCTCCTCCTTCACAAACTTTCGAACTTTAAAAAATATAATAATTGTAGGCAATATAAACATAGATATCATGCCAAACTCTACTGATAAAAGGCGTCATGAATATTTGAACTTATTAGCTAGTCATAGTATTTTACCCGCACACACACTACCCACTCATGGACGTACTTGCTTAGATTATGTGATGATTAAAACCAAGTTGAGGTCTCACTGTTACATCATCGAAACCTCAATTACTGATCATGATGGAGTAGCCCTTAACATATGTTTGAAGTCAGACCTAAAAGAAAATTACCAAAACACAATAAAACATGTAGATCGCATAGGACTACAAAACGATTTACTAAATGTGGACTTTTCTTCGGTATATCAAATGGATAATGTTGATAAGGCCACAGACTTCTTCATCCAAGCTATCAACAAATGTATTTTGAATAACTCCAGTATAGCTAAAGTTCCGAGGCGAAAAAGGACTATGAAACCCTGGATCACCTCAGGTATTCTGCGTTGTATGAGAGACCGTGACAACCTACACAAAAAAGTAAAAAAAGACCCGAATAACAATACCCTCATAAAAACTTACAGAAATTACAGAAACTTCTGTAATGCACTTCTTAAAAAAGCAAAACGAAGTTATGAAAAGTCCCTTATACAACAGGCAGGAACAAACAAAAAGAAACTCTGGGATGTAATAAGAAATGTGACATACACCAAGAAAAAAGATGACATGTTACCCAATCCACCCTGCCAAAAACATCCAACTAACTCGATTAGACAGCCAACTCGATTAACGAGTGTTTTGGTGGAGTTGGGAATAAATTAGCTGAGGACCTTAAACTTAAATTTGGCTCTCCGAAACCACTCCTCACTAACTTGTATATGAGCAATTCACTTTGTTCGCTACCTACAGATGAAGATGAGGTTGTCAAAATAATAATGGGACTAAAGAGCGATTGTGCTGCAGGCATTGACTTAATTCCCAGTTGGCTATTCAAGCAATATAGTGATTTGTTGACACTACCAATAACCCACATTTGTAATGTAATGCTGCCCTCGAAACCGGTACATTCCCTAGACTTCTAAAAGATCTCGATTATCAAACCAATTCACAAGGGAGTTGACAGTGACTGCGTTAATAACTATAGATCTATATCAATACTACCTACTTTATCTAAGATCCTGGAGAAAATCCTAAAAAAGAGACTTATTGACTTTCTAAGCTCAATGAAATCAATCTCAAATAATCAATTTGGATTCCGAGCCGGAAAGTCAACTGAGGATGCCATTCTTGAGTTAACAAATATATTAATCTCTAGTCTTGATAATGGCAAAAAGAATATAGCAGTCTTTCTTGATTTAGCTAAGGTCTTTGACGCAGTTTCTGTTCCTCGTTTGTTAAATAAACTCGAAGGAGTAGGTGTTCGAGGGGTAGCATTAAATCTATTTGCGAGTTATCTAACCAACCGTAGTCAGAGAGTCAAGCTTGGTGGTGTTCTCAGCAATGAGCTTCCTGTAACCTATGGTGTGCCGCAGGGAAGCATTTTAGGTCCAACGCTGTTTCTCATCTATATGAATAATAGACCTGTGCGAGATCCAGCTACCTCGAGGCAAAATAGTTACCTTTGCCGATGATACAGCTCTTGTTTTTAATGGATATTCATGGAAGGAAGTCTTTGAACTTGCGCAAAAAGGGTTTAACAATGAATGATTTCTTATATTTACGCGAACACTACACATTGATTAAAACTACTTTTACGGATTTTATCGCGTTTATTTTACTTATAATTACTTTTATTTTTAATTCCCGACGTTCGGGCGCTTTCCAGCACCCATGGTCACGGGGGACTGATATCACTGACGTCCCGATGTCATTGTTGAATCCGGAGTACCTTCAGCTTTTTTAATTATTTTTTATGGTCCGATCTATGTAAAATGAACTGACTATGTCCTGAGGTCTTGCAGTGGTATGCTTGGGTTTAGTTTTAATTTTATTGATTATAGGATCCCAAGCAGGTGGTAGTACCCAGCCTCCTTCTCTACTGAAATTAGGATGTTTTTTCATTTCAATAGCCTCACGTATCATCCTTGGTAGGAATCGGTGTTCTTTCGCGAGTATTTGTGGTCTATCAAATCTGATGTAATGGTTGGGGCCGTTTAGGATATGATCACAAACATTGATGCTTCACATCAGCTATATGTTCTTTTACGCGGGTTCTAATTGATCTTTTTGTTTGTCCTATATAAGAGAGACCACATTCACAATCAAGCTTGTACACTCCTGCATATTGTAGAGGAATATGACACTTGACGGATGGTAGGAACTGACTAATCTTCTTCGGCGGCTTGTAGAATGTTCTAATAGAAGCTCGCTTCAAGATGTAGCCAATCTTGTCTGTGACACCTCTGACATATGGTAGTACAGCAGGCACACGCTCGACTGTGGCCGGCTTCACTCGGTCACTGTGACGTAGGCGCGGGACCCGAAGCTTGTTGTCGTGCAGAACTTTTTTGTTTCAGTTTTTGAATATTACTGAATGAAGGTAGCCGGACTAACTATGACATTGGGACGTCAAACATCTCAGTCCCCCCGTGACCATGGTTGCTGTAAAGCACCCGAAACGTCGGGAATTAAAAATAAGTAAAAGTAGTGAAATAAACGCGATAAAATCCGTAAATTTAGTTTTTATTCAATGTGTAGTGTTCGCGTAAATTTAAGAAATCATTATGAGATTCACCGTTTAAATATCGGTTTGTATGGGTCTTTTTCCTATACACAGTGTGACCAATGGTGTTGTTAGGATTTCGGATGACTAACACATCTAGGAAAAGTAAGGAATTGTTTGCCTCTAACTCCGTAGTAAATTGAATTTTAGAGTTTATGGAATTAAGATGATCTAAAAATGCAGTTACTTTGTCTGATGGTAAAATTGTGAAAGTATTGTCTACGTACCGCTTGTAGATCCTTGGTGTAACAGGTGCAGTAAGGAGGGCTTTCTCCTCAAAGTCTTCCATGAATATATCGGCGTCAATGGGAGATACAGGTGAGCCCATCGCAACACCATCTACTTGCTTGTAAAACTTCCTTCCACAATAGATAGCCAGATGTAAGGCAATGTCTAAGTAATACTGCATATTCTGCTGGCATATTATTTTCCTCTAGTTTCCTAGTTATAATTGAGATGCAGTCTTCAACAGGTAGGCTTGTAAATAGAGACTGAACATCAAAACTGACCATGGTTTCATTTTCAGTAAGACGTAGGTCTTTTATCTCACTGACAAATGGTATGAATCCTTAGTATGTGCTCTTGTGTGTCCTCTGAGTGGTGATAATATTTTAGCTAAGTATTGAGCCAATCTGTAAGTTGGCGAATCAATCTGACTCACTATTGGACGTAATGGAGCATTCGGTTTATGTATTTTTGGTAACCCATACAACTTTGGTGGTTTGGCACATGAAGGTATTATCGAATTAACGTCCAGATTCAATTTCTCGGAGTATTTCTTAATTAGATCGCTAGTTGTTTTAAGCGTATTAGTTGTAGGGTCTGTTTTGACCTTTCGGTATGTAGTTTCATCCGACAAAAGTTGTTGTATTTTAAAATTGTAATCTGACGTATCCATTATAACCGTAGCATTACCTTTATCTGCGCGGAGAATCGTAAGCTCTGGTCTGTTGCGTAAGTTTTTCAACGCGTTAAATTCATTTTTGGCAAGAATTAATTTCGGCGCTGAATTTCGACGTAACGTAGACGAAATATCTTGACGTATGGCCTCTAAATCTTCATTACCAATATTATCGTAGTATTAACGTCGGAAATTAAAAATAAAAGTAATTAAAAGTAAAATAAACGTGATAAAATCCGTAAAAATAGTTTTAATCAAGGGTTTAACAGTCTTAACAAATGGTTGGTGGATAACATACTTACTCTTAATGTTACAAAAACAAAATACATGACCTTTGCCCTAAAGAAGACGAGTCTACCTACTTCTGGCTCTATCTTTGCTCACTACTGCGACTCTCTAAATTACACCTCTTGCTTGTGTCCCACGCTGGAAAGAGTTGAATCTATTAAATACCTAGGAGTCATTGTTGATTCTACTCTCACTTTCAAATTGCACATCGATTCCCTGGTATCTAGACTGAGAAAACTTATTTATATTTTTAAATCCCTCCGACACATAGCTGATTTTTCTTAGTCAATCAATAATCGGCCAAAACTCACCTTATAGAAGCTGAGAAAGCTCAACGAGCAATCCTCAAAACTGCAGCTAAACTCCCTTATTAATTAATTTATGAAATGTCGATTTTCTCATAACCAATAAAATGAAAATAATGATGTCTTCAATATACTATAAAAACGTGTAATTTAAGAAGTACAATCCGTGAGGAGGGACCTGGTGACCTATAGAACAGGTATTGTTTAATACCTTTATTAGGCACCAGTCTCTCACAAACTAGGGTTCAATACGTTTATAGTTTAACATGTTTGTCATCAATAATACTGTACCTGTTTGTGATGAGAAAATAAATATAATTTCTATTCTATTCTTGTTTCTCCACAATAACTTTCAGGATGCTGTTGGTGCTCCCCCTTAACCTGCGCATCAGGGATGCTGTAATTTTTCGCAGAATAGCTTGAAAGATGTCTGTTACTGCTTCAACAAACATGTCTGATGCACTACAAAATTGTTGAAGCCCAAACAGCACCCTAAATGTATTATTATATTGCGTACAAAGAACATTCTAGGCCCGCTGCGTATATCTAACACACAGGCTGCTCATGTAGAATGATTGGCAAAAATGCCTTGAAAAGAGCAATTTTCACTTCTCTCATACAATGTGCAAACCTGCAGGCCAGCATGTTGCACCAGACCAACAATGCTTTTCACTCCCTCTCTATATCATAAACATATTAAATCCACTTGAAATATGATTTATAGTTGGTAAAATATTAATTACATTTACAGTTAAAAGCTAGTATAGAGTATATTCAAAATAACTTTAAATTTTTTTAACCAAAAGTGTTTGATTTCTAAGTTTACACATTAACAACAAAATACGATAATAGTTTATTTTACGAATTCATAGTAAATCTGTAGTAGCTGATAATTAAAGATATGAATTTTTAAGATTAAAATACAATTATTACTTAGTTAAAATTCAATTGCAATAATAATTACAGAATAGTCAAAACTACTATATTCAGATTAATAATTGAGCCTTTAAAACAATACAGTATTGTGAAGATGAGATATAATACTCTTCAGAGTATCATTATACATATCAAGTATGGAAACAAATAAAAGATGTCTAGTTTCTCTAACCTTATGGTACTCAAAATCTGATGGTCGCATAAACTAAAGTTATATTGAACAGTTGTATAATGATTTCTTAAATTTACGCGAACACTACACATTGTATAAAACTATTATTTACGGATTTTAACGCGTTTAATTACTTTAATTTATTTTTATTATTATCCCGACGTTTCGGGTGCTCTACAGCACCCATGGTCACGGGGGGGGACTGAGATGTTTGACGTCCCAATGTCATTGTTAGCTCGGCTACCTTCAGTTTTTTAATATTAATTTTTGGTCCGATTTACGCAAAACGAACTTACAATATCTTGAAGTCTTGCAGTGGTATGCTTGGGTTTGGGTTTAATTTTGTTAATTATAGGATCCCAAGCAGATGGCAGCACCCAACCATCTTCTCTATTGAAATTAGGATGTTTTTTAATTTCAATAGCCTCACGTATCATCCTTGGTAGGAATCGGTGTTCTTTTGCGAGGACTTGTGGTTTATCAAATCTGATGTAATGGTGGGGACGATCCTGAACATGTTCACAGACTGCAGACTTCCCGGAGCGTCCGTGCTTCACGTCAGCTATATGTTCTTTCACGCGGGTTTTTATGGATCTTTTTGTTTGACCTATGTAAGAGAGACCACATTCACAATCTAACTTGTACACTCCTGCATCTTGTAGAGGGATATTACACTTGACGGATGGTAAAAATTGACTAATCTTCTTCGGCGGCTTGTAGTATGTTTTAATGGAAGCTCGCTTCAAGATGTAGCCAACCTTGTCTGTGACTCCTCTGACATATGGTAGTACAGCAGGCACACGCTCGACTGTGGCCGGCTTCACTCGGTCACTGTGACGTAGGCGCGGGATCCGAAGCTTGTTGTCTTGCAACACTTGCTTGACATGCTGAAGTTCGGCGGCCAGATGTTTTCTGTCACAGATCCCTCGTGCTCTCTGAAACAAAGATTTACCCACGGTAGCTAACTGTGAAGGATGATGGTGAGATTCACCATTTAAATATCGGTTGGTATGGGTCTTTTTTCTATACACAGTGTGACCAATAATGCTGTAAAGCACCCGAAACGTCAGGATAATAATAAAAATAAATTAAAGTAATTAAACGCGTTAAAATCCGTAAATAATAGTTTTATTCAATGAACAGTTGTAGTTTTATATTAATTTTTATGATTATGAAAACCATACTTAAGTTTTGAATCTATGTTGCTAAAAATGGCTGGATTTATAGATGAAGTCGTGAAAATGCATTCTTTTGTACTTTTTCTTAAAAAGATCTGTTCTTGTACTTAATAATGCTACTAGATAATTTATGCAGGTACTTTCAATGTATGATAGAGTTGACGCAATTGATGCTGAAGGTGTAGTGAGATATGTGGCCTCTATGCAGCAAGAGGACGGCAGCTTCTTTGGTAATTATAAATAATTTATAATATAGTTACTTTTTTAATTAACAATATGTTGATTTAACAACAGGGTATTATTATTTACTTACTTTTTATTTAATGTCAGCCACTTATTGGTTAAAATCTGTTGCAAAGGTTTAATTAATAATTGACAAATCTTCTGATTGAAAAATGAACTTGTGGTTGTTGTGATTAATTTTTATAAAATACAAATAATGTTAACATAAGTGTTGTGTAGGGTTAACATTTTTTTTAAATAGAGAGACTCTATAACATGTATTTACTTTTATAGGTGACCAATGGGGAGAAGTGGACACAAGGTTTTCGTTTTGTGCAGTAATGTGTCTGTCTCTATTACATCGACTAGATGCAATCAATATAAACAAAGCTGTAGACTTTGTTCTGAGTTGTATGAATTTTGATGGTGGTTTTGGGTCAAAACCAGGATCAGAAAGCCATGCAGGTAATGCCATATTTGATATTACCAGGTTAGGCTACAGATACATTGTCACACCGCAGTGCTAAGATGGATGCCTCCGAGCCTTTAATATAATGTAACGAACATCGCAATGCAAGCACTGCTATTTTGTGGCAGAAGCAGTACAAAGTAGGTATAGGCACAGAATAAATAATTGTACTATATAAAGAAGTTACTCTCCATTTATTATCACTGCTTGCTGATGTTTTAATAGCCTACATAATTATTCTTAATTAGATAAATAATGCATGCAAGCTAAATTTGCTCAAGTGTCCGTATGACTGCATCTTTTCCCCTTCCAACGTCACGGACAATATTTCGTGGTTACCAAGGACTTTCAACAAAAAGTAAAATATATTGTACATATTTAGAAACTTTTTATTTATTTAATTTACAACTGTTTTACTTTAATATAACATTTTATATTTTTTACCGTCTCTAAATTAAGAGTTAGTTAATTCAGTTTAATATTCATTCATAATTTTAGTAAATTATTTGCTGGTTTTATAATGATTATGTTTCAAAATTGTTAATGAATGTATTTTCTATAATATACATAATATAAAATACATTAAAACACAAAGAACTATTTTATCCTATACCTAAATATACTAAACAATAGACAAAAATGTTTACAAAAAATCAATTTACATAAATAGAGATAAGAAAACTTCGAAATTCTTTAGTATGTTGCTCGCCTAAAATGCACTAGCCCTTACAGCATATGCAACCTGAGGTTCCGCGCAATTATAGGCATTTATTTCACCCAGGTAGCAAGAGTTAGAAAGGCCTGCTATAGGATGGTACTTACCCATGCAGACTCACAGACAGACAGACTGTTGCGCATGCACTGATGTGTAAAGAGTAGAAGGGCCAGCACTATAATTACTAACTATGTGGCATTTCATCTTAGTCCTCAAGGGCATTCCCCTTTGGTTTAATAGTGGATACACAGTGGTGTTTCACACTGTTTTAATACAGAATAAATAATTAAATTATTGCTTTTTCAATAGGTCTCATTTACTGCTGTGTTGGAACATTGTCAATCTGCAAAAGAATGGATGCTTTGCATGCTGATGAGCTTGCATGGTGGCTCTGTGAAAGACAGCTGCCAAGTGGTGGACTAAATGGGAGACCAGAAAAACTACCAGATCTATGTTACTCTTGGTAAGAAACAACTGAATATAATTGTAGAGGCTGTACTACAACTTACCTCTGGATTGTGCCAAGGTGTAGCTGGCTTTTACTAAAAATTTAAATTTGACTATTTCTAAGGTATTAGCGCTTAAGAAAAATATTGTGCAAAAACTGTTCCTTTACGTTTACCTTTCTTAAGTTAATTACTCTGTTATCTATTAGCACTCATAACATTATTTTTTATTATTTTTATTATTATATTTATTATAATTATAATTTTATATTATTTAACTTATAATTTTCTATTATTCATTTATTGGGCAATGTTTACAGTTTTACAGAAGGCCCAAAGATAAACAAAAGCTTTATAACATAAATTTTTTTTATCAAACAAAGACTATTCAAGGTTCATTGTAATATTGAATATAAAGTTGATAATAAATAACCTCTGGAATGGTATAGTTACTAAAAATCTGTATTTAAAATTATTTCAATGGCATAACATACACAACAACACTGTGTGATATTATGGCTAATTTAGGGTTTGATTGTTGTTAGATCCATCGTTTTACGCTATTGTGACGCCAGTGTATGACAGCGCCATCACAAAAAAAGTCCAACTGAATTACACAACTTTACTTTCTACAATTTCCAACAGAAAACTAAAAAATAATAGAATCATTGCTAAGTCACGTGACTTACTGTTGAGATATACCATTTCCATTTATTTTTATAGATTTTTATTAGCATTATTTAACCTCTGTTGTGTATCCCACTGACTTCTGTCAGTACAAAGCTTTTTCTGAACCTGTGATAAAAATAAAAATTAGTTTCAATAAATCTAATTTTATTACCAATATTAAATAAAAAATATACCAATCTATTCTATGACTAGACGAAGTAATGAATTTTATTATTTTATTCTGCTTTATTTTTTGTGTCAAATTAATTGATAGAAATTATCAATAATATATATCATGTCTGTTTTACTTTCAGGTGGGTGATGTCATCCCTTTCAATGTTGAATAGGATACATTGGGTCGACAAAAAAAATCTAGAACAATTCATATTAGCTTGTCAGGATCCAGAAACTGGAGGTTTCAGTGACAGACCTGGTGACATCACTGATCCTTTTCATACATTATTTGGATTAGCGGGTTTGTCTTTACTAGGAAACAAAGATATAAAACCTGTGAATCCTACATATTGTATGCCTCAAGAAACAATAGACAGATTAAAACTGGAACCACAAACTTTATTGATTTAATTTTAAGAACAACTTTTTAATGTAATTATATGTAAAAATAAATAATTTATATCATCACTTTATGTTCAGCTTATTTCAATTTCACCTTTGCTAATGAAATCATCCGTGTAATATGTGGTCTTCACATTTATAATCAAGCACACGAACAATCACAGTTCGATCCCCATAGACACCAACAAATAATAAAAATAAATAAATAATAATAATAACGTTTATTTCTCACCATAAAGTTACGTTTAGAGTTATGAGTAGCACATAAGTTGTACATAACAACTTTGCCCGTGGATCGCTGGTGCCTGTGGTGGTTAAGATACCCGTATTACAGGTCACCAGGGCTACACCTCTACGAGGAATGCTATTTGTGTTCAAACATTAACACATAAAGATCAACTCTATTTCTACATTTCTCATACCTGATGAAATAACTATCAAATAAATGGTTAAGAAATCTTGTGTGTGTGTGTGTGTGTGTGTGAGTGTGTGTGTATGTGTGTGTGTGTGTGTGTGCGTTCGTGCGTGCGTACGTGCGTGCGTGCGTGCGTACCTGCGCGATGTGTGTGTATGTTTAAATGTCTTAATAACTCGTTTAAGTGCTTATTTAATAAGTGTTCGTCGATGTAAAAAGATATCGTGAGAAATGTGTAAATCAAAACAAGAAGAAGAACAAAAAGGGTGCAAATTCTGCCAACACGCATTGGAACAGTGAGGCATATTCTTCTTGATTTTTTCTGCCTAAAACCCCTCTCAAACATAAGGCAATATGCGTAATTGCTGGGCACAAATTTAGCAATTAGGATATACGTACTCGTAGTCAGCCATATTGCAAAAGGCGATGGGAAGTTCAGAAAAATCTTACGGCTTACGATAGCAGCGTTAAATGCGCGAGACTTCTAGTATTGTAATCGTCAATCCGCCTGCCAATCGTAGCAATTAAATCAAATCTTTCCTACAACGAGAACAAATTCAATGTTCAGAGATTAGTAGGAATTGGTTTCAAATCCCGGCCAAAACCTGTCGCTGTAATATTAGGCCGCTTAAGTTGATAGTTTGCGAAAAAATGTTACTTCTTCGCAATCTATTGTATCGTTACGTTGAATGTCTACTTATGAATGCAAGTAAAATATGACAGTTGGGATATTTTTTTCACGTACTGTTTACATCATGTCTGTGGATTACTCTCAATGAATATGCTACTTTCTAAAATTACCCTTTTACACTAATTTTCTTAAAGAGTGGGTTACTTTAGCAAAAATATATATTACTAACGATCCACCGTTTTCTGGATCTCGACAACAGCTCTACCTAACGGATTTAATTATGCATCTAAACCCTTAGACCATTTACCCAATGGACGAGTAATGCGCCTAATGCTACGAACAAAAAATTCTGTCACTTTTGGTGCGGTGGAGGAAACACTACATAGACAGTACTGCACACCTACTCAATAAAATATTGTGTCATTATGGCATATACAAATCTAAATCTCCAACAATATAACATTTTACGCACACATATAGGCTAAATACATCAACATAGCAAAAATTATGAGCTAATGAGATTAAACACTAACCCTACAGTTGTCGCGTGGATTACAATAGTAAACCGCTGTAAAATAATCTCAAATTTGGATATTTCTGGAATCAAATGGTTAGAAAAAAATATGTAAACTGGTTTGTGATCAAACTTTGAAATTAATGTGATATATTAATATGTAAAAGATTCTTAAATATTGTTATCTGAATAAAAAAGGACGTATAAATGATTTTTGTTTATTAAATATGATTAACCTTTGACTAAATGCTACCCTGTTAATATTTATAATAAAATAAAAGTACATTTTAATTGATGTTTTAAAGCTTTCTCCTTATTTTAAATTGGACTACATACGTAATCCACGCGACCATTTACGTTATTTTATAAGGTGTGAGCGCTGCAAGGTTAAGTAGTCTCGTTACACTTTTATTGTTTATATGTTGCTTATATAAATTAGTCTCGTTAGAAGTGCCGTTGTGTTTACATATTCAATTTTAAACCTAATTTGTAACACCTAACGGTTGACTTTAAAAAAATAAACATATAACTAATCTCGTGGGGAGTGTGCTTGTCACATTTCGATGATCACTACGATGTTTACGAAATATTATGTACTCAATTATCTTATCAGTAAAGTTCTCGATTATTATTTATGATATTATTTTAAATTATTATAATAGAAAGAAAGCGTATATCACAATAAAAATACTCACATATGGAATGTAACTTATAAACGCACAAGATTTTTGAATTCAATACTTGCGCAGAGGGGAATAAACGTGGGAGGCGAGTCCATTGGGATTAATGGTCTAAGAGGTAAACCATCCAGGGACCCACTCAAACACACAAAAAATTTCATCAGAATCGGTCGAGCTCGAGCCAGTTTTGAATTTAAGCGAGACTTACAGACAGTAATTAATTTTTATATATAGAGATTACCATAATTTTCTAACTTGTGGAATGGAACTATTTTCTCTTGTAATGCTTAAAGCTACGAATTTTAAATGTCTACGAGATACCTAAATTGGTTACAAATAAAGGCTCTATGGTCTACAACTATTGCTTGCCACATCTTGTTATAAATAACTGTCACCTGTCACTGTCAGTGTCGGATTGTCACATGGTCAGATGAATGAAATCATGAAATAAAAGATATGAAAAGAGAATAGCATGAGAAAAGCATGGTGAACAGCTTTTAGCAAAGATAATGTATTTAGCTGGTGGCTTATTACTTATCAGAAATTAAAAATAAAAAATAGAAATGTGATTGTGTGAAACACACACAATCTTATTGGGCCAGATAAGACGTTACAATGTCCCATAATTTATCTGTCTTATTATGTACTATTTGTTTTGGACTATATAACCTATTATGGGTTATAAAGTGTTGTATCAAAACAATGTGGTTTCCATATTATGTTCAATTCCTTATTTACTTAGTAGGGGTAAATTTATTTTTATGTTTCACACGTGTTTTTTACTACAGTGATGTATTCTTCGCAAATGTAAATAGAAATTTACTTCAGGAATATGATTATATTATAGGTAAGGCAAAGCTAACCACATACAAGGTACATATATTTTTTTAAATATAATATATCGATGGTCTAGAAGATAAACGTCTTTCAGTATTGATTTAAAGGTAATTCGGTGGAGCTGATTATAGTTTAAAGAGTTGCCTTTTTTCTTTTGTTGCTTTGCAAATTGTTATTTTTTATATACCTTCTTCTATGTAATACTTTACTAAAGAAATAAAATACTTGATAAATGTCACTTCAATTTTAGATGCAAACATTAATGCAATAACATTATTATACACATTGCCTGGTATGAAAATAATAAAATAATAATAACGGATCATAAAGATTAATTTGGAACACGATAATGGAACCAATTCACTAATAAAAAACAACCAAACAGCTAATTCAATATATTAAAAAATACACAATGTGAAAATAATTACAGTAATAAATTATGGAAACATTACGTAACTAAATATTGAAATATTTAGTTAATAAAAGATATTAAAAATAAAAATAATATTAGTTTTACCCAATGTATATCCCAATTCTGAAGACATGTCAGGACAAAAGTATAATTTTTGATAATCCAGACAATGTCCTATCTGTAGACTATGTTTCGGCCATTATTGCATTGCCTCGTTGTTTAACAAACACCCAAATTCCGTTATTTAATTGGGTACCATAACTTTAACCACAATACTTAATTTCATTATTATCATAATTACAGCCCTCACATGTCTACTGATGAACATAGGTTACCCCAAGGAATGCAACTTTATGCATGTCTAACCAGGTTGTCACTCCAAAATAGTGAGTGGTTGCCTTATACTTCCGTTACCAGTACAAAGCTCCCACTCAAGGGCCTTTCTTTCCCATTAGTTGTCAGTTCATTGTGCTATATGGCCGACTTAGTGATGGCTTACTAATAATTACTGATAACTACTGTTGGGCTATTTTAGTTTGGTTGGTTTGATTACAAATTCTATGACAAAGAGAAACCCCTAGCATATTTCTAGCTCACTGAAGGACCTTAAGCTTCCTAATAAGAATCAGCAGTGAAGGAACAAGGCTCAATTTGTATTTTTTCACCGGTAACATGTAATGGCATCCAAAGTAAACATACTCATTAGCATATCTTAAGAACTATGGGAATAAGAGTTACATAGACATCATACATGGCCTTTATCTTGTCCCTGTTCATCTTAAGACCTATCTGGTTAGAACAATACTAAGGTCATTGAGCGGGGGAATCTTAGCGTAGTACTAATGCTAAGTTCCTCCAGCGATTTTGCTGTAATTATTATATCATTGATGAACTAAAGACAAGCCTATACAAGTATATCCTTATCAGTTTGCTAATAATATTTTCCGGCTTAAAAACATATTCCAATACGACGGTGAAGAGTTTTCTAGAAATCATGTCAACCTGTCTTAAGCCTCTCTACAGTTTGATAGGTTTTGTAATTTGATAGCCATTATACACTTAATGTACAAACATTTCAACACTTTGATATACCAACAGTCGATCTAGCACCTCTGAATGTGCTGTAACTCCGCCCAAATGTCAATGAGTTTTCTCATAGTCCACATATGCAATAAATCGTGTTAGATCATTCTCAATGGTCTTCTTCAAAATTTGTCGAAGGGTATGTATGTGTATGTCATCATCATCATCATTACAGCCCGTCACAAGTCCACTGCTGAACATAGGCCTACCCCAAAGAATGCCACATAGCATGGTCCTGAGCCACCTGCATCCATCGACTTCCTGCAAGTCTTACCAGGACTTCACTACATCTTGCGGGGGGTCGCCCTACACTTCGACTGCCGGTACGAGGCTGCCACTCGAGAACCTTTCTTCCTCATAGTTCATTGGTTCTTCGAGCTCTATGGCCAGCCCATTGCCACTTCAGCTTTCTAATCCGTTGGTATATGTGGGACATCTGATTCTACTGCGGATATCCTCATTCCTTATTTTATTATATATTCCATAAGTTTATCAACCCGAAGCATATCCCTCTCCATAGGTCGCTGAGCGACCTTGAATGAACACGTCGCAGATCCATAAGTCATCACTGGCAACGGGCACTGGTTGTACAATCTAGTTTTAAGGTTTTGACGTATGCCTGACGAGAAAATGTGTCGTAATCTACCGAATGCTGCTAGATTCAAATTGATCCGTCGATTGACCTCTAAGTATATGTGAATGTGGTATGTGTTAATAAAGCTTTTTCGGAAATCTACAGTACTTAAGATTTTGCGGAAACTGTTTAGTTCTAGACACTGGAAGTCTTCAATCTACATGCGACACTATTTATAATGACTCTTATAACAGCTTGTAGACACGGCTCAAAAAGGAAATCGATCGGAATCTAAGAAAAATCGACACATTACCACTTCAGCTTACTAATCCTTTGGGCTATGTCGGTTACTCTGGTTCTACTAATATCCTCATTTTTAAGTCTGTCGTACAAAGAAACCCCGAGCATAGCCCTCTCCATAGCACGCCGAGCGACCTTGAAGAATAAGTCATCACTCATGCACTTGTTGTACAATCTTGTTTTGGAATATGCCTGACGAGAAAATGTGTCGAAATCTCCCGAATGCTGACATAATAATGTCCTCCAGCCCGAATTTCGGTTACGGCGGGCTGCCTCAACGGAGACTAGCCATCGGCACAGGAAAGGATAATAGTCCCCAAGTGTATGCGCAAGCACAGGTGTACTCTCTATTCCCTCACTCTCATAATCCGATGGGACAGTAAATCGACACGACCGGAAGGAGATCAGGCGCAGGATGTCAACATCCTGACTCCGGGTAGCTACTGTGAATTTCTTGACGGAAAAACACAATAATTGATTTTTGGCCCGACCCGGGACTCGAATCCAGGATCGCACTACTACAACCAATAGGCCAATGAGGCAGTCTTATATAGAAGTATAAGTTGAACGTTGATTGTCGTCTGCTATGGGACTACTTTTATTCATCCCATGCAGGTTTCGGGCCTCGGGGAAGCCCCCATTACCCGGGTGATCCTCACGGCTCATGACAATGAGCCGGTCTTGGGAGCCGTACCAGTACGGCATCGTTGGCTATCTTGGTTGGCGTATTGCGCGCCACCAGGTCGGTGCTACCGGAGGGTCGGCCGTCTCGAAGCCCCGCGGAGCCCTGAGGATGGGAGTCGACGCAGAGCCAATCTTGCCGACGGGAGGGCGCTCCAACAGCAGCTGCTCCGGGCCTCCAGTGCTCCTTCCTGGCTCTAGTTGAAGGCCTGGCATTCCTAGGCAAAAGGTTGGCGTGTCTTGCGCCTCTGGGAAGGGAATCTGCCGAAGGGTCAGCAACCTCAAGGTTCCGCGGAGAAGCATCTCGACGCGGAGCCGAAGTCACCAACAGGCGCGCGCACTTGTGTGCGCCGGGCCTTCGGAGTTCGCTTCCCAGCGTGTAGGTTAAGCGCAGTGTTGGTTGATCTTCATCCCGGGTGGGGTCAGGGGCGTCCTCAAGGCTCGACGCAAGCCGAGTTGGCCCCACAGCGCGCACCCACTGCGAAGCGGCGCGCTGTACTTCTCCCACCCAGGCGGGAGTCGACGACCGGCGGACGTGACCGCTCGTTGGCGCGGTCCGGACGAGACTCGAGAAGTATAAGTAGTCATATATGGTCAGTAATATATGGAATGAATTACTGCATAGACGTAAGGAGGGAAAGATTAAGGTACCTAAATATTAAGGTGCTTTTTATATCCCTGGTTCAGGTGCAGTTTTCCAAATAAATTTTAATTTCAGTTGGCGCTGGAACAGCAGGGTCATTGATTGCCCATAGAATAGCTACCGAGACGAACTTTACGTTCATGGTTTTCGAGGCTGGGGGTAAAAGCAATTTTCTCTATGAAATACCAATTATTGGGCCGTTACTTCATGGGTCGGTGTATGATTGGCAATACGAGACCACGCCTCAGGAGAATGCATGTTTAGCAATGGTTGACAAAGTAAGTGTTTGTAGATGTCATTAATGACTAACATTTATATTCTTACTCATCTTATTAATATTACAAATAACAATAATATTGTCCTCCACGTCTAACTTCAGTTACGACGGCCAGTAACGACGATGATTAGGAATACAAGCAGGACAGGATTATAGTGCATGAGTGTGATCGCAAACACAGGTGTACTATATTACCTCACTCTCGTAGTCTGATAGGACCATAATCTGATCCAACCGGAGAGAGATCAGGCGCAGGACCCAAGGCTTTACTACCTCTCCGAGACGGGGGGATGAAACACCGCCAACTTCTTGACCCCGGGCTTTTGCTGAGAATTTCGCGACAGAAAAACCCAATAACTTATTATGACCTGACCCTAAATTCGAACCTGGGACCTCATGATTAGCAGTCGCGATTACGATCACTAGGCTAACGAGGCTCTGTGTAACAGCAGTATTAGGACTACAGCATTAATGGGCTGGCTGGGCCAGGGAAGAACCACGCTCTCACAGAATAACAACGGGAGATACTAATGATACCTTAACTGTGATCTGAGCTACAGCTCACTTACATTTATTGTGTTACCCGTGTTTAATGGCAGTATAAAATGTCTTGCATCTTACATCTGGCAAACATAACTTGGGATACAGCCTTCTACAGGAACCCATTAGTCTTTGTGACTACAGTGGCTCTTACTTGATGCAATAGGGCGATATATCTCTTGATTTTCTTACGCCACTACCATACGACATCTGTTTGACTTCTACGACAGTTAATTTTGATTGGGTGTTAAACCCTAAACCCGGAGATCGAACTCGTTAACAAGTCTGATTTTACTTACGTACCAAAGTGTAATTTAAAGTTAGCTCTAGTACTACTTTATACAGAACTTAGTTTTTTTGATATTTAGTTTCGTCTAGTAATTTTACATTACCAGAAGTTGTGACTTCTTTTGGTTCTTCATAATCGTCAACTCGTAAACAGTCCACAGCTATACCTACATGTGCCTCATTTTTAGGGAAGATATGCTGTTATCAATACTACTAAAATTCCCATTGAATACTTCAAAAAGGCTAAATTCCTTGTACTAGGAGTGGTTCAAGGCAGTAGTCGAATGGTGGATTCGAACCTACGATTGCGTTTCACTGTTCGTACCCTGGACTGTTGGGTTACTGTTGCTTTAAATTTCACTAGTGCTCCTTTTTGCCTCAGAGCCTGTCTTGGTAGATGCCGCACTCTTACTTACTACTGCCAACAAATTCCACTGCTATTTGTTGGCTGTTGAGTTCCGGTCTGAAGGTATATGCTTGAGAGACTTTATTTATCCAAGAGGGCAAATTCAAAATTTATCTTCCAGTTATTTAAAAGTTATGTTAAAGTTTAACAATGTATTTTTCTTTGTCAGAAATGCAAACTTACACAAGGAAAGATTGTGGGTGGATCTTCAAAACTCAACAACATGATACATGTACGTGGCAACCTTTCTCATTACACTGAATGGTTTCATGGAGTACACAATGAAGAGTATTTTCGACAGCATTTTGATTTTTTAGAAGAATATCTTCTTAATATAGATGATATACCATACCAAAGTGAAATGACTGACGCTATATTAGATGCTGCCAAAGAATTAGGGTACCAGAAATTAGATATAGATTTCAAGAAAGGTTTTAGGAAAAGCAGAGTAACCCATAAAAATGGGAAACGATGGACAACTTCCGACATGTTGGATTTAGATAAACACGTGACAACGAATGCTCTAGTTGAAAAAGTACTAATTATTGATAACAAAAGCTACGGAGTAAGTGTGCGTATATTGGACAAGAAACATATTGTTCTGGCAAGGAGAGGCGTAATTCTATCTGCTGGAACTTTAAATACGCCGAAAATTCTTCAGTTGTCTGGGATTGGACCTTCAAAATTACTGAAATCTTTGAACATTCCTCCAATACAAGATTTACCAGTAGGACTTAATCTACAAGACCATGTCGGCTCAGGATTGGATTTGATATTATTAAGTAAAGCTTTGTCAGTTTCCGCTGCAAATATAATTAATCCATTAAATTTATTTCACTATTTTCAAGGAAAAGGGCCATGGACGAATCCAGGTTGCGAAGTATTAGGATTTTTATCGACCAAAAATTTAACTACGCCTGACATCGAGATTATGTTCCTTCCTGTAGGCATTGCTTCAGACAGAGGTAGTTTATTAAGGAAACTTATAGGTATAAGTGATGAAGTATGGCATGGATATTTTACTAAAACTTTTAATAACCATACGGCAACTTTCTTTACAGTTATTTTACATCCTAAAAGTAAAGGTAGCGTGTTCATTAAGAGTACTGACCCTAAAATACCGCCCTTAGTTAATCCCAGATATTTAAGTGCAAAAGAAGATGTAGATACTTTGATAGCGGGTTTAAAATTAGCAATTAAGTTTATAAAGACTGATTCCTTAAAGACAATTGAGGCTTATTTGAATACAAACCCCTTTCCAGGGTGTACACAGTTTCCATTTTTTTCGGATAGGTATCTGGAATGCTACGTCCGGCATTTGACGTTAACGAGTTACCATCCCGTAGGAACATGTTCCATGGGTTTGCCAGAATCTAAAAGCTCTGTTGTTGATACATCTTTCAGAGTTTTAAACATTCAAAATCTGTACGTAGCTGATGCCTCAGTGCTACCAACATTACCTAGTGGTAACATCAACGCAGCTGTCATCGTAATGGCTAATATATTTTTTGAAAAAAATATAAAATATGTATCCCATTATAGTGATAAAGTTTTTCACTGCCATAGATATGATCAGATATATCAATATTTATTCAAGGTATGCAATTAAGGTAGAGATAATTTAAATAAATAGGGTGTAATAGTACAAAAAAAGCCATAAACATTTTATTGTGTATATTTAAGGTCACTTCTACACATTAATATTGCGTACAGGATTCTTTGAGCTTTAATGTAAAATAACACTAAACACTTAGGATAGAACTACAAAAAGGAATGTCAATTGCACCAATTGTAATAATAATAATAAATTTTATTTCAATACAAAGATTTACCTACATGTACATCTCGTTTTTAAGGCGACTTAGTTTATAGACGATAGAGAATTTTATTGTGTCTAGCTTTAATAAAACCAACTGCTTGAAGTGCATACATATGTATGTTATTACTCGAAGGCATCCCAAACTTCCCAAACTTTTTTTTAGTTCACGACACACAGGTTAGTATTTTGTCTCGACGCTCTAGCTTGTCGAAATAGGGTAGGTACAATGATACTAGATAGATAGACACAAGAATATAAACATTCACAATATGATGCTAATAAGATATTGTAAAGAATAAAAGTTCTAAAAGCTATTGAACTTCAAGTTGGATATTAATTTTGGACCCGTTTCCGAGCGTAAGTACCTATCGGCAAGTGAGCGACGTATACAGCGCGCACGATTTGTATTGTTTATTTTGTACCCGCGAATACCTAAGTTTAGTTTCCGGAGAATGGTAAACAGGAGCGTCGAACGCCGCCCCTATTTGTTCTATACGGCGCATCAGGGCGCCGCGGCGCACACTTTGGGAACCCCTTCTCTGAGCTAATGACTGATTTTTCAATCATCTGATACTGGGCTGATATCAAATATACTATAACCTGACTCAATTTAAAATTTAAACAAAGTGGTTTATTTATACAACTATAATTTTTAATTTGTTAATGTTGTTATATCTCTTGAGAATAACTTATCTGATCATTGAAAAATCAAGCCTAAGTTTGAATGTTTGCACTACTTCTACTTTTGAATTTGTCATTTTTTCAATTTTATTTACCATATATTTTGTTCATTAAAATATACTCCTCTACAAATGTAACTAAGAAAGTATGTTTTAAAATGATTGTATCATATTTTACAATTGTTTATTCAAACAAAATAACAAACTTAAAGAGAATTATTTGTATTATAATCAATATAAATTGATTTGCCTTTCATTCCTCGTCCCTACACATTTTACTTGCAGAGGTGATACATAAAAATTAATTTATATAAACCAGTATATAAATACCTACACGATCAAAAAGTAAAAATGACTAGAGATAAGACTACATGTAAATATATTCTAATTAAGATCTACATTTAACACAAATAAAAGCATGAAGGGTTGCGTACTATCGTACAAGATTTAATACTATGTAGGTAGAATGTAGCAATACAAACTCTATGAGCATTTTAAGCGTCTACTTGTTGCCATTATTAAGATCAAGCAAAAAAAAAACAGATTTCATTTCATGACTGGGAAAAAATGGTGGGGTAAGGAAATTTACAATGATGATTTTTTTGCTGACGACAAAATAACGTTTGTCTCTCAACATCACCAACCTTATGAAGTCCACTGCCTGGGTCTTACTAGTCTTTACGTACATCTTTCCAAAAATGAGCCAGTTAGCAGATTTGCCATATCAAGCCGGGTATTAAGACCTTTTGGAAACTTATGGCGACATCCTCGCGCCATATTAATGGCGTGTAAATTGGAATATTTACTAATTGTCAATGTTATCAATAATGCATTCAAAATGTCGATTCCAAATTACATTGATTGGTTTAAGAGAGAACAAATCACGAGCTTTTCTTATTTATGAATATGAATCACGTATACATATTATTTTTCATATATAAAAACATCTTAGTTTTTAAAAGCTTACAATGTATGTTTGTTAGGGTCAAATCTTGCAACTGAATTTAAAAATAGTTTAACCTTAACCGATTGAGCTGAAATGTTGTATACATGTTTGGTTTGGATGACAATGGATGGTTAGCTAAGTGACATTCCGATATGCCTGATCGTCCAAGCTCCCGTGATATGGGTACCAAATGAAAGGGTTTGCTGAGAAAAATACGAAATTAAAATGACATTACTCTAAATTCAAAGTGGTGGACCACAGAAAAAAGCGGAATAGTTATTTTTATGCACTCCCATGATCTGTAAGTCTCTAGTGTAAAAGTTCGCTGAGAAGAATACGAAATAAAATGATGTCCACGTTCACCTCTTTGAGGAGATGGTGTACTACTGTCCGACTAAATGGTAAATCTTAGTGGGGTCGTGTCTTAACTAATATCAACCTACGCCCCGGACAAATTCTAGCGGTGGTGAATAAAATTCAAAATGGCAGAAAAGAAGATGACCGCCATACCAATCTTAAAGTTATAACGCGGCTTAAGTTGGGAATAGTTTGGTGGTACTCGAACAAATGTTGTATATGTATACGAACCGACAAGGGTCAACTGCTGGCGTTAAATCAAGATGGCGATTGAAAACCAACCATGAACAGATTTAGAAACTAAAAAATATACAGCGAAAACTAAAAATAATAAATAAATTAATAGTAAAAAAAAAACATTTTTAAAAACAGGCTTATATTTAAATGCTCTAAAAAGAAGAAAATAAGCATTAAATTAAATCAAACCCATCAATTTATTACATTACACAATCTATATGATATGAAAGCTTGTCGCGAGATTTACCTGTGTACATAAACAAGAATACATTATGTAACTTGAATTTTTGAAGTAGGTAATTCTAAGAAATAAATAATGTTTTTTATATATTAAGTACCTAAATATTTTGTTTTTATAAATGTTTATTACTATTAATTTATTATTCATGTGCCTATATGTTCGAAATAATGTTATTTAAGTAATTGTTAAGTTTTATATCAAAGTTTTTTTAATGGGCCCGTTTTTTAAAAGTCCTACCTAATCCTAATTTAAAAATATCTATCTCCCCGTTTACTATGTCTCTTTTGTCGTTTTTTTGTGCCGTATGTCGAAAACAAATTTAATGATTAATGTCGACTCCCAACCAATTTTATCCCAGCCGTATTTGCTTAACGAATCTCAGATTAATTTTAAAATCAATTCTATGAGCTTTTAACAAATAAAAAAAGTTTAAATTAGTTACTATATTATTTTGGCAGTATTTTCATAAATATATGTATATTCAACTCAAAATTCAAGTGTTAAGTGTGAATGTTTTAAAATAAGACACTCACGGACGGAAGATGTGTCATATAACCCGCTTAAATATACATAGATAATATACACAACATAGTTATCATAGTCAAAACTTTTTCTAGTAAAATTACGTTATTTTGTGCAAATATAAAAACTATGATCACTACTTAGGTACACTTAATTTTCTCGAGCACACGACAAAATTATATTGTCTACATTTTTCTAAATCTACAACAGCTTTTAAAACAACATGAATATTTAAAAAAACCTTTTACTTTAGATTTTTTTTAATTCCTTTCTCAGTTATTAACTATATGAGCAGTGTTAAATGTTATATGATTCTGCAAAAGGAATACTTTCTTCGTATTTTCAGTGAGGAAAACAATAATTGACACGTCAATATCAGTCACACACAATCACGATCTCTACTGTCTGTACGAACAATACCACAGTCTATAATCTTCTAATGCTCAACACACACGTACACGGTCAGTTAAACTGATAAGTTGAACTAAGGTATATCCAAATACCGACCGTGACTATGAAATCTTAAGTTGAAGTTTTTAACTGACGGCAATACACGAAAATTTACGGGTGCAAGGTAATTTAAACTGATCAGTTGAACTGACTTACATCCAAACACTGTACATACAAATAACGTGTGTGTGAAATCAGTTAGTGGGTAAATCGTTTTGGCTGACATCCGATTGAACTGATCAGTTAACTGACTGTGTCTGTTGGCCATTTAGCTATGACAGCACTGCGTTATTTATATTTTTAGATATTTTTAAAATATTATTCTATTGTTATGACGTGAATATAATACACTAAATACTCTAGTTTACAACTGCTATTAATATTCTACCAATACGACCTTTAAAATAATAAACATTTTTCTTAATAAATCATTACTTATTACTTACTTACTTTTTAAATCAATGTATTAAATACATATTTGTATACATACATAATTTCTTTCACTTTGTGCTGAGCAAGTTCAATTCACAACGCAACTTCTGCATGCAATAATACTGGACGGATTATCTGATATTTTAAGGCCATGTCCTATATGACTGTAAGGCTTGTTTTTAGGTATATTAAATATTGTTTTTTTTAAAGTAACACACAAATTTTCTTAAATAATCAATAGTTTACATTATTGCTTTCTAAATACATATATAAAGTTATTTGCAATGAAAATTTAAAATATTTAAAATTATACCTTATAATTGTTTGAGACTTAAGAACATCTTTGAATTTTTACAATAATAGTAACTTAAATATAATTAAGCTATAAGTATTACTAAACTTTATACATTGTACCTTATAATACTGAGCGGTAAAGATCTTTAAATTAGGTATTGAATAAAAGTACGTAAAATGTAAGTGTTCACATCAGGAGGTTTTATCGTGATTTTAACGCGCTAAACGTTATTCTTTTACTGCGCAGATTAATATAAATAAAAACGCAAATAAATATAAGACAAATAAAAATCAATCCAAAGAAATAAATGTTTCTATTTTAGATAACATGCATAGAGTTTTACTCAAATGAACATTTTTTGCTTATTTAAAACAATTGTTTTTTTAGTAATAGATCTAATGCATACAAACAGTAGGCATTAATGCCCATTATACTGTTTCTCCTATTAAGTTTTACAACCATTGAGAATGCTTGAGCTTTGTTGAGCAAATGGTCCAAATTGCTAATTTACGCAATAGGTTTCACAATTCCATAAAAAAAAAATTAAATTGTATATTTTGCTATTGTTCAATTTTAAAGAAAACTAACTAGTTTGTGTTTTAGCGACCACAAATAAAAAAGTTCCAATAT